AAAAAAAAAAAAAGGAAAGAAAAAATCCAAGTTAGAACGCATGCCAAAAAACATTGGGCCGGTGTGTAAGTCTAGATCCTTTTAAATTGCTCAGTAACATAATATTGGTTCTTGTTTGATGTTCGTGACTGAATTTAGGTCGCCACTGCTCTATTTTCCCTTACAAGGCTTCAGCACACGCAAAAGATACTTTACTAGACTCACTTTCAATTTTCAACTTTATGGCTATAGAGCAAAACACTTCTCTACCCGCTGGTTCTAACCAGCACTCAGCAGTAACCTCATGCCAGACTCTCCTCAAACAGTCTCCTGCAACGTCCACTGGTGTTTATTGGATCGATCCTGATGGTGGATCCAAGGCCAACGCTTTCAAGGCTTACTGTGACATGGATACGAATGGAGGGGGCTGGACATTAGTATGGAGCTATTCCTTTACTAACTACACTCATTTTAACGATGATTCAAATGCGATCACTCCTAGGCCAAATTGGCCGGTCAAAAATGAAGGGAATGTTCCAATCTCCACAATTTCTCCATTAAATGACACAGACTACAATGCCATGAACTTCTCACTCTGGAAAACACTCGGTAGACAGATCCTCATCAAAAGCGACATAAACAACTGGCTGTTGTGTCATCCGGCAGATGGCAGCCTGGTTGATTGGCAGAAAGGTGACGTCAACTGTACAATCACCAAATACGTGGCTGACCCAAGAGCATCAGCTTCGGCGCCTTCCAAGTTTTCACCATATATCAACTATGGACCAATGTTCCATTCGAGTGGGCGCTGGAACAGCTCCTTTTATTATTTCAATAGTTACACGTGCAAATATTGGCCTACCCATGATCCTTGTGGAAAAAATAGGCCAAACCAAAAGAAAAATGTTCTTGATCCACACGGTAACATTTATATTCGAGCTGAGTAGCAAAGACAGACAATGAGAAATCTTTACGCACGTATCATCTAGAGGACCTTGAGGGTATTAAACTGATAGAACTCTAAATTCTTCTGTCGTAATTACTGAGAATACCCCATCAGAAGAGAGAATTTTGAATCAGATCTTGGAGGCTGAAGGTTCAAGCTTGGTTCACTCTCGTAAGTTGACAGAAAGCAAGACACCAGTTACGCTCATCATGTGAGGTCGGGGGATTATCTTTCAGAATTTTACTTTCCCATGGAACTTTCGATAATTCAAATCACTTCGCGAAACTTTGACTTGATTAGGTTCCAATTTCTTCTTTGTTGTTGTACAACAAAATTTAAGCTCTCAATGTTTTTAATAATGACTACTTTTACCGCTGATGTTTACAAAACTCGTACCAACCACTAAACCAGATGGTGCAATCAGCTAGGGCAATTTTTAAAATAAAATGAATAAATAAGATTCATTTAAGTAAGCCTGGATCAGTTACCCCATTAAATAATTGTCGCAACAGTTTTTTTTTCATATTTCCATGGAAAGGCCAGGAGTAATGAGTAATGAGTAACGGGTTGAATAATGAGCATTAATTGATAGTAAAAACATATAACGAAGTTTGAAAATGGTATTCTGAGTGGAAACTTAGTTTGTCTTTTAGACTAATTACCTTCGAAATGCTAATAAAAACAACTTGTATTCCATGTTAAGACCATAGTGTGGTACGCTTTTCTTGATGATGAAAATGCTTTTCAAAGTGAAAAGGCTGACTCTATATTGACTTGTGCTCGAATGTATAGGAGAGAAGCTGCTTGTAAAGAAGCAAATTTCTTGGCGAACAAAACCACCCATTCGCTTTTTGACGAAGGACAACAGGCAAGAAAGGTGGAAATATTTGTAAAACGGGATGGTTCTTTCTATATAGAAAAGGTATTTCTAGAATTTTGTAGATTTTACAGATTAATATAAGTTGTGTTACCATTTCTTTCTTTACTCCGTGCGATTACAAAGGAGTGGAGTGAGAGCCGGATGTTTTGGGTAGTTTTATGCAATGGCAATTTTTTATACAACTTGTTCATGTTTCAATTTAGTTTTCACTGTCCTTTTCATTAAGTAGGAAATAAAATTTTTCTCATGTCCGTAAAGTCACACAGCCGCTGTAACCTGATCAATAAAAGATCCTTAAAAGATGGGAGTCGGCATGTTTTATCGAGTCCGTTTTGTAATTATGTTTATTTTACATCTGTATCAATACATTTTCAAGTTTCGGTTGCCTCAAAAAAATACTTCTCTTTTCATGTTGTGCCCGTCTACTCTGAATCAGATCACTTAAAATGACCCTTGGACAATTTTCCAACTATTGACTAAAACATTAGACGAGAGAACGGCAGAAAAGGAAAGGTGATAAAATTTAAGTTTAAAAATGAATATCTTTAAGACAAAAAACCCCTTCCCTCAGCTTTTACAGTCATTAAAACAGAAAACTCAAACCTTAAGTTGATGAGGATCAGGTAATCAGGGCAAACATTTTGAAAAAGTGATCAGAGACAAGACTTCTTTTTGCTCGTCTTTTTAATCGAAATGAATACCTACTTTTTTTCAAATAAATATACAAATTTAAGTGTAGCTTGCAAACTATGAATATGAGTGAAAGTTTCTTACTCAAGCGAAAGCCTGTCTGTTTTTGGCTCACTTAATAGGTTACCTTTCAAGGAGTCTCTAGTCCCAAGGTATGTGATTTTTTTACGGCAAATTTGTCCTTACACAAAGCTCAGTTCATGGTGGCTCACACTGGATTTCGTCATTTTTAAGTCACCAACTCCTCAAATGAATGATATTGCCACACCATTTGGCGTGCTTGGTAGAATGTGTTTTCAAAAAATACCTATTCCGTCTCTAAATGTCACATTTAACACAACAGCCCTACAAAAACAACTCTTTTTTTAGGTTTATGTGTCTGTAACTTAAAGCAGAGATCGATAACCATATTGTTTGATCATAGGAAAGAACACGCCAGCACCCCGTGGATTAACCC